GGTAATCATTCTCCATTTATATTAACAAAATATAAATAAATCCTCTAAATACTGAAACAAGATTTCAGTGAATTTTTTTACGCTCTATATTGACAGTGTCATAAAAGATGTCACAATTTCAGAATGATGGTGACTACCATCAGTAGATTCAGAAGATGCCTTGAAGACTGGAGTGAGAGAAATGAGATGAAATGCAATAGTACAAAATATAAGGTCATGCGCTTAGGGTCTAATAACAAGAATTTCTTCTACAAACTGGGGGGCTCATCGTTTGGAAGTGACAAAGGAGGGGAGAAACTTGGGTATGTGGGTCAATCACAAGATAACTATTAGCCACAATGTGACATAGTTGTGAAAAAGGCAAATGAACTCTAGGATATATTAGGGCAAGGCATTTCCAGTGGAGACAAACAAGTATTAATGACATTGTACAAGGTGCAAGACCTCATATGGAATATCATCAACAATTCTGGTCACCCACATTCAAGAAAGATGAATTTAAACTGGTACAGATGCAGAGAAGAGGAATAGAGGGCCTATCTTCTGAGGGGAGACTGGAAGAGTTTGGTTTGTTTAGTCTTGCAAAAAGAAGGTTGGGAGGGGATACGATTGTGCTATAAATACATTGGCAGGGGGGTGGGGAGGAAGGGCATAAAACACCAGGGAGGATGAAGACTGTTTAAGCTAAAGGACAATATGGGCACATGAATAAATGGATATAATCTGGCCATGACAAATTTAGGCTAGAAATTAGAGGAAGGTTTCTAATCATCAGAGGGGTGAGGTTCTGTAATAAGCTCCCAATAGTAGTTGGGGTGGCAAACATCTTAATTAGTTTTAAAAGAAGGGAATCCACACACACACACAGTGTATTCAGGGATTTTTTTAATCTCCTTTCTCTGAAGCATCAGGAATGGCCATAGCTGGAAATAGTACATTAGATGGGAAGGGCCAGGTCTTTGAGGTGGCACCAAGCATTCTCTCTCTGGTGATTGGCTGTCTGGTTCTTATTTACATGCTCATGGCTTAATTGATCGCCGTATATGGGATTGGGAAGGAATTCCCCCTACCCCCCCCCCCCCGGTTCAATTGGCAGTTATCTTGGGGGAGGGTTCACCCTCCTCAGCAGCGTGTGGGTCACTTGCCAGGATTATCTGGGTATATCTCAGTTAATCATTTCCCTGCCATTGCTAGTGTTGATGGCCTGTGATAGACAGGAGATCAGACTAGATGATCTGGTGGTCCCTTCTGGCCTTAAGCTCTGTTACACTAAATTGTAATGTTAAGATTTTAATTCAGGCCTCATTTTATAGATGCAACTGCAGTCACTGGAGTCAATAGTTACTGACCTTTGCAATATGGCAGGGTAGAAGTTGAGCTGTTTGAAAATGGCCACGAATTTTTGTAAAACATTTTGTCATCCCCCCCCCGCCCCAGTTTTTTGGTTGAAATTTTGTACATTCAGAATATTTTTATTGGCACTAGGGCTAACCTTCGTTACCCTGATCCATGCCCTGTGACTGGAGCTCAAGAATAAAGATCAGTCTTTTTCTAGCACTCTTGTGTGCCACACCTTTATTATAATGGTGGAAAATAGCTTGTACCTCATGAACTTTTTATGTTGCCAGAATAAGCAAAAGGAATGGAGATTCTTCCCCCCGCCCCAGCCCTCCACTCAGAAGCCATTCTGCAATTGCCAATGTGAATAACATCATCATCGGCGATCCCTTAATTCAAGTATGGTCTCTACCATAGATTTACATATTGGTCCTGAGAAGACTGAGCAGTCCGATCCTGGAACCACAGATCTGCCCACAATAGGTACAGACATTTCCTGGAGGGTCAGCTGCCTGCTGGGAGAAAGTTCTTTCTTTCAGTGCAGTGGATAATAAATGCTCAGATGGAGTGTAAAATAAACCCAAATCCATAAGCATCCATAAATCTCTCGCTGACTTTGCATTACATACAATACAGCACATTCTGATAAATGCTCATATTCACCTTTTTTGAATGGTGGCTTTGGTTACAACATAGTGAGAGGAGAATGGGTCTGGCACAGTAGATAGAGCCCTGGATTGTCATTCAAAAGACCTACGTTCCATGCCTTACTCTGCCATTGATGACTGGATGCATCATTTCAAAATTTCTGTGCCTCTTTTTCCCTTCCCTTTGAATCTCTTGTCTAGAATCTCTTTGTGGCTGGGACTGACTCTTACAATGTGTTTGCAGAGTGCAATCGGCTCCTGATATTGGTTGGGGCCTGTCAGACAAGAAGTAATAACTCATTTTGTTTCAGAGCCTAATCAGAAAATTCTCATTGGTGCAATTCCCTAAGATTAGATTTGGCTGGAAAAGAACTCTTCCTTATTACCCCTGGATAGAAAATCACTTGAATTAACCCCTCTGTTCACCTGATATTCAGACTTTCATACCTAGTTCAACATATTCTGACCCTTTGTATTGTCTGCAAAACAGAGGTTTAACTATCAAGTCCAAATTCACCAATGCCCTCTTATTCTACACTTTCTGTCACTTCTCACCAAGATTTAGATCTCAAATCAGACAAAAAAAAATCTACATACTAAACATATTTCCTGGAAACTGCTCAGTAAGCTATTAACAGTAAAAACACTTGAATTTGATATTGTAATGTTAGAAGTACAGTTGCATTGCATTCTTTTTAAGCAGCTGCTATTGAAAATCAAACATTTAATATATGATAGAAAGTTGTGTAGTACAAATACATATATTCTGTGGAAGGAATGTGTAAAGAATGTTTGGTCCTCATTTAAATAGCCTAAAGAAAAGGGGCATTGTGTTCTCGTTTATCACATTTGTTCTTTCCATGAATGATGCACTTGTTTTCCTCAAAAGATTTTCCTTTTTTGAGGGGGGGTGAGGGAAAATAAGAAAAGGAGAGGAGAAATGTCCAGATGACTTGGTTGTCATATCTTAATTTCATGTGCTACCTCCTATACATACAATAGCAGTATTCTTTGGGTCGGTTCTGTTCTGCTAATTTGATTAAAAGATATAGCAAGACATCAGGCTTCTCACACTTTGCTTGTACCCACTGAACTGCTGTTGTACTACAAACTTTCATCTTTTGTTGGTGATTGCTAAGGCATTGTACACATGGATGAAAGCTGCTTTCCTTCCATTTCCCAAGCCCACAGAAATGGGAATGTGATAATTAAACCACCAGATAATGTGATATTAAAAACACACCCAATCCAGTGGCTCAACTTGCAAGAGTGCTAATCAGATTTACAGCTTGGCGTCTCTAAGGCTATGGCTTTATTCCCAACATTGCCAGTCATGTCAGGAATCACAACTATGTTGAGATGCACGTTTCCGTGGTCTCAGCATGAGACAAAAAGAAGGGGGTGGGCAATAATTCTTCGGTGTAATTAGCCACTGGAGGAGAATCATGAAGTCGCCTTGCACACTTAAGCCATTTTAGTAGCTAGCTGATGCTCACCATCATAATGCTGAGCTATGGGATCTGGGAAGTGTAGCATGGATACCTACCTTCATCAGCAAATGTAATTTTGGACTTTGCTGCCAAAGGAGCTACAGTATAAACGCATTTATTGGAAAAGAGTTTCATGAAATAAATTATGGCCTATTGCACCAGATTGAAATAATGGTATGGCTGTGGCAGCAAGAGAAAACCAAACATGTTTGCCAGGCACCTCAAAGCAAAACATGAGATACCTGCTTAGGACATGTACACACTGCAGGCAGCCATTTCCCTGCAGCTGCACCAGAGATTGTTTAGAAAGAGCAGTGAGCAGACAGACAGAAAGCGATTCAGACAAACCTGAATGGCCTTAATCTTTTGGTAATGGACCACTGCATGGATACCAAATCTGTAGCTTGTATATTAAATTAGAGTGGATAATAATATAGATAACTTTCAATTAAAATATGAAGTGAAAAGCCAAAGGTATGAGTCTGGTCCTATTACAGGAGTAACTCCACTGAAATCAATTAAATTAAACTAGTGTAAAACAGGTGTGAGAAAAGAGTCAGGCCCTAGGTTTTCAGTTTAAATATCTCTCTTCCTTTGTTCTTTGGTGCATTCTTGTAATAAATCCTCAGAAGGTATTTTACCTTTCTTATCTCTTCTGGAGCAACAACTTGTTAATATACATGAAAGGATTCCATTGTTTATTTCAGAATTGTGGAGGATCTCAGTCATGTAAGATTGCTAATATTGTGCATTTATTTGCAAGTCCAACCATTCTGGTCTGCACACCTCCAAACTTCAAGGGTCAGGATCCAGTTCCAAATTTTAAATTAACCGGAATGAGCTAATTCATGGTTTCACATTGAAATCATGCAGAATCCTGATTTTTTTCATTATTTTGACACTAAATAAGGTGAAACTTAAAAGAATCAACTGAGACCTCAATCTTGCAAAGACTTGCACTCATTCTTAACTATATGCTTTGAGAACAGTCCCTTTTAAATCTTGGTTTTAAATCAAACACATGCCCAAGTTTTTACAGGATCAGATCCTGAGTTTTTTAGGTTTGGTCAAACCTGAAACTGAGTGAAACTCTGTCACAAGCCTCTCAGAGCAAAACCAAAAATAATTTCAGAAAAATTCCTCTCATGTGTAATTGTTGAATTTTGACCAGCTTTATTGATGAGATGTGGTAACTAACGTGCACATCAATGTTAAGAAGCACTTTCAATTAACATTATTTAGTGATGGCCTCTAACCACAAAATTAAAATCCAAATCCAGGTTCAAATTTCCAATATCCTCAGTGTCTGGGGTCATATGGATCTAGGATTTGTCTTGCACCTGACTTGGTAACCCGTATCCTATTTTTCAACTGTTGAATAGCATTGTTCCTCTTTAATTTTCCTGTAACTTTCTTTAAAATGTTTATATTCACATTTTCATTAGGTGTTAGCAGTAGTTTTTTTTATAAGCAATATATATATATAATACTTCTTTTTGCAGTAATCTATTCTCTCTCTCTTTCAGTGCCTGTTACCTGGTATTGAATTGGTCAGTTTGCTATGTCCCCCACATTGCAATAGAACTACTGGTTAGTGAGATGTGCCTCTTGTTGTGAGGAAGATTAAAGAAAATAACTACATTTCTTAATAAGTCATTGTAAACACAGAGCTGTCCCTTCATGACCTCTAGCTGCTCTCAGTTACACATGTGCATGGAATAGATGTTTGAGACAGAAATCCTTGTAGCAGACTACACCTGCCATTTCCATCATACAGCAGCAGCTCCACAGCAAGCAGTAAATCTGTCAGTGGGTCCTAGCACTGAATGGCACAAGTGGTTTCATATCCAGCCATTCTGAGGCAAGCGTCAGAGCTATTTCTTCCCCCCTGAATTGACATCAATGCTCTACGGAGAAAACTGATTCCAACTGCCTTTCTTTAGTTCCCCCCACCTTGCCAGCTTATTATGTAGTGAACAAATAATGCTTTTACTTTCTTTTTCACTCAATCAAATTTTATTAATCACATTTAAAAAAACTGGCTACAGGTTCTGTGCTATGCTCAATATATAGATACATATTATATTTTCAATCGCTTTCTTGGGCATTGTTCATGTTCTGAAGCATGGCCCAGAAACCAATGAGTAAATTAGATGATCTCTTAAAAGTCATGTACAATGATTGTTTCTTAGGATCTCAAAAAACCAGCGTCTGAAGGCTGATTGGTCCACATCCTGTCAGGAGTGCTACAAATGAAAGACTCCTTATGTCTTCCCTAGGCTATTTCCCTCCAGCTGAAAAATGCCCAACGATAGCATCATTCATGAAGATTGCAACATTTGCTATCAATGTTTTAAAAAAATTAGGGGAAAATCTATCAGGTTATTGAGCAAGAATGCACAATAGGGTGTGTACTTTGTGCAGATGTCACCATGCCATAAAGCCAAACACTGAATGCCAGTGCTACACAAAAATTACCAGTATTCCAGCATGCTGGGGCACCCTATTATGATACGTCCTATAGTTAACAATAATTTTGTTTAAAAATATTTTAAATAAAAATATTAAATTTAATTCACTAACTTTTCTTGTTTAATTTCTCTCTCTCTTATCTTCCATTTCTCCAGTGACATCACATCTTGTTTTTCTTCCAATGGTAGCAGGGTAATTTGCTTTTATTTACTATTTCTTAAAGGTAAATCGGTGAGAAGTACAATTTGACTTCTATTTCAACATTTTTAAAAAGGGACTTGATTTGTGTTTACACTAAGGTCCCTTTACACTGTGCTGAAAGTGCAAAGGAGCCTTAAAGTGGGCATAAATGTAATTTACACACACATTAATGACCCTTTAAATTGCAAGAATAGAACATAAGGGGCCTTCGTATAACTGGGAATTCAGACATAAAGGAATTTAGTGTTTGTATAACATTCTATGCTGGGATCTCTGAAGTCCCTGTTGTTATCCACAGAACAAGCAGCAGCACTGCAAACTTCCCCATAATACCACAGGAACGGGGCTCAATATTGATTAGAGGAACCATCTCTAGAGGTATGTTTTCACTATATGGTGAACCCAGATAATTGGCACCTGGTCTGAGTACTCAGGTTAGCCTAACCTGGGTGCAGGCATTCCCACAGCAAAGCCCTAACAGAGTACTCTGTCCTCACTGTTTCTACACTCACCTGTGCATATCTGCGGGATATACCATGGGGTTTTTTTGTGCTGAACTGCTCTAGGTTCTTCAAGTAGTGTCTCTGTGGGTGCTCCATTTCAGGTGTGCCTGCGCCCTGTGCTTTTGATTGCAGATTATTGGTAGCGGTGCCCATTTGGCCTGCCCATGCACCGTACACATCCTTGTGCCATGCATCAAGACTATATGGGGCTGTGCGGGCGAACCTCCTTCAGTTCCTTTGCAGCTGCCTTTGGCCTGAGATGGAGTCTGCAACCAGTTCCTGTTCTCTAATATTCAGTATTTACTTCGATAGTTTGTTTATAGTTACTTACCTTTCAGTATTCATAATGTTGAAACAGTTGTTCCCTTTGTTGTTTTTTTCTTTTCTTTTCTCTCAATTTTTTTTTAATTGTTTTATTCTTAGATATAGTTAGACAGTTGTAAAGAATTTCCCCTTCTAGGGGTTATCTTCTTGGTTATTTTGCTCAGGAATGCTGGGCTCCTCTCCTGTCATGAAGCTATTCCTTACAGTACCTCTGCTGTTTGGGTGATACTCATATCCCCAGTAAGTGCATGATCTGCATATTCTTCAAGAGTAAATCCCCCCAAAAATAGTGAGATCAAGTTTAAACTCTTAACAATGGAACAAACTTTATGTCCATCTTCCAATCCAGGGGTGGAGGATCTCCCTGTACATAGGCCTCCCAGAACTACTGGTGCTCTGTTCACATCAAGATCTTTGTCATGGGAGACCACTAGAGAGGTAGGTGGTACTGTGACACTTGAAGTGAGGTTCTTACCCACGAAAGCTTATGCTCCCAGTACTTCTGTTAGTCTCAAAGGTGCCACAGGACCCTCTGTTGCTTGTGACACTTGAGTACATCTGAGGTTCCAAAGTCTTCATCTACATCTGCCTCTAAACATAAGCAGGTCTTGGTCACTGGCACACAAGAAGGCTATGGAGACCTCAGGTCCCAAGGGGAGTTCCATGCGGGCTCTGAGTGATGCCAGTATTGCAAAAGCAAAGAAGAAAAGTCAATTTAAGACCGATTCTGTACTAAGTTTGGGTACCTGGTCCCAAACTGGCAGAGACATGGTTGAAAGGTGTTATAAGTCCCGTCCCTAAACAATGCTCAGTACTGATATCAAGAAAGTTAATGGTACCGAAGACCGCTAGCCATCCTGCAGTACCACGAAAATTGCAGCTGACTCTCTCCCAATATTGAAGCCTGACTTGGGCCAGTCTTTACCATCAGTACCACAAAACTTCAAGTACCCTAAGGACTTGATAGCCTCTTCGGAGCCACAGTCTCCCCTGTTAATGAATACTGGCAATTTGTCAGTGTCAAGACCCTCTTGGTCACTGACCCCTTTATCACCTAGAGAATCATACACACCCTTGTATACTTTGCATGCTGAACAGCTGCTACCTCCTCTCCTCCCAGACTATGTGGAAGAGGACTCTTCAGCTTTTCAGATTTTGGTGCAAGGTTCCCCTGTCTATTCTAGAACACAGCATTCTCCCTCTCACCTTGATGTTTTGCAGGAAGATAGACCTCAAATGACACCAGCATGGCAGGAACACAGATGGATGTCTCCACCTGTGCCTTCTAACCTCCCCCACCCCCTTGTGACCTTGTTGGGATCCATGGACATTCTGTCATCAACAATTCACTATAAGATCTTCATACCACTGGGGGGAACAGAGAAGGGTCCCTTCTCCTCAACCCTCTGTACCACCACCTATGCCTGAGGAAAAGATCTTTGAGGAGCAAGAAGCAAGGGCAGACAAGGAGGTGACACCTCTTATGAATATTTACCTAATATCCCCTGGTGAAGCTGTCATGCTTCCACCACCTTCTGTGCAGATGACTTCAGACAGTTTCAGGAAGTGATACAGCTAATTGCTGACACACTTTAGATTCCCTAGAAGAGGTTCAGGAATCCCACCATACACTCCTAATTATTTTACATACCTTGCCATCTTTGAGAATTGCCATTCCAGTGAATTATCAGAAGGGTAGTTAGTCTGTATCCACAAAAACAATGAGGAGTCTGGTGGCACCTTAAAGACTAACAGATTTATTTGGGCATAAGCTTTCGTGGGTAAAAAAACCACTTCTTCAGATGCAGTTCATTCCAGTGAATGAAGCTCTTATGGAGCCTGCTAAAACTGTTTGGCAAAGCCCAACTGTAACACTACCTACCTGCAAGAGAGCAGATAAAAAGTATTATGTTCTGGCCAGTTGTGATCAGGGGGGTTAGTGCAGGGCCTCCTGCCTAGTGGTTATGTTCACTCTGGTGGCAATTCTGCCTAGTGGTCACAGTTCAATGTGGTGGCAATCCTGCCCAATGGCTACAGTCTCTGTGACAGCAATCCCACCTAGGGGATTCGGTTCAATTGACGGCAGTTCTGCTCAATGTCTACAGTTCAAAAATGGCAGCAGTTCCACCCAATGGCAACAGTTCAAAAATGGCAGCAGTCCCACCCTAGTGGTTAATGCTTGAGCAGAAGTAGGAGAACCCAGGCCCACCCTACTCCACCAGGTTCTGACCCTGGGTCCTGTGAGGCTGACTTGGCTGCTCACTTGGCTCTGTATGATGTTTGGCCTCCCGTCAGCTTCACTGGGCCACTTCCTACTCCACTCCACGTCCCATCTGGCTGCTGCTCAACTCTTGGGAACATCGTCTTTGGGGCTCCCAGCCTTTGTCCCTGCTGTGAGTGCTGGGTCTCTCCTGCTCACTGGCCCAATGCAGGCCTGACACCGTCTTCCTCGGGAGCTCTTTAGGCAGGTCCTCCTCCCTGGCTGGTCAACCCCAGACTGGGTTGCCTGGCTGGCTTTTAAACCTCGTCCCCAGTCCAAGTACGCTTGGCAAGGGCGTAGGGGCAGGGCTTCCTTATCCCATTAGTGGGCATAGGAGTGGGGCCTCCTTATCCCATTACTGTTCCTTAACCCCCTCCTGGCCAGTGAGGGGTTTATACATCTTGTCACATCAGGGAATTGGAGTTTCTATTCCCTGACCCAGCTACAAACTCCCTAGTAGTGGAGGCTGTTAATGAATGAGGCAGGCAACAAAGTCCACCCCATACAGTAAGGACCATAAGAAACTCGACCTTTTTGGCCCCAAATCCTATGCTTCAGCCATACTTCTGTTCAGAATAGCAAACCATTAGGCACTCATGGCCAAAGATGGATTCCTAAATTATAACAAATGTAATTCCTTTATTGAGCATCTGCCAGAGGAAAATTGTGACCAGTTTAAAGCCACTATTCAAGAGGGTCAGCTTCTAGCAAAGACATCACTTCACGTCTCCTTAGATGTGGCAGATACTGTCTATATCCACCACAGTGGTCATGAGAAGAGCATCATGGCTGCAGATGTCAGGCTTCCAAAGAGAGGTTCAGAGTACCATTGAAAATCTCTCCTTTGATGGTCCCAAGCTCTTTGTGGACTCGATGGATAGCTCTCTACATGCTTTGTAGGACTCAAGAGCCATGCTGAGATCCCTTGGAATTTTTACTCCTGTAAATAAGAGGAGATTTAATAGGTCTCAGACAGCATAAAGAGCACGCCCAGCCCTATATTCAGCCTCTGAACCTCTGGCCAAGAGACCAAGATACTCAAGTAAGAAACCTCCATCAACTACAACTACATCTTCCCCGCCATCCAGGTCCTCCAAATAACAATTCTGATGGCTTGACTGAGAGTCTCCACCATCCTTGGGCATCTGCGGTAGTGATTATCTTTGAAAAGTAATTAAAGATTGGTGAGATCCCAGAAGACTGAAAAGGGCACATATAGTGCCAATCTATAAAAAGAGGAATAAGGACAACCCAGGGAATTACAGATCAGTCAGCTTAACTTCACTACTGGGAAAGATAATGGAGTAAATAATTAAGCAATCATTTTGCAAACACTTAGAAGATAATAAGGTGATAAGTAACAGCATGGATTCGTCAGGAACAAATCATGTCAAACCAAACTAATAGCTTTCTTTGCAGGGTAACAAGCCTTGTGGATGGGGGGAAGTGGTAGATGTGGTATATCTTGACTTTAGTAAGGCTTTTGATATTGTCTCACATGACCTTCTCATAAACAAATTAGAAAAATACAACCTAGATGGAGCTACTATAAGGTGGGTGCATAATTGGTTAACCATTCCCAGAGAGTAGTTATCAGTGGTTCACAGTCAAGCTGGAAGGGCATATTAACAGAGGGTCCCACAAAGATTAGTTCTGGGTCTGTCTCTTCAATATCTTCATCAATTATTTAGATAATGGCATAGAGAGTACACTTATAAAGTTTGCGGACAATACCAAGCCAGGAGGGGTTGCAAGTGCTTTGGAGGATAGGATTAAAATTCAAAATATCTGGACAAACTGAAGAAATTGTCTGATGTAAATAAGATGAAATTCAATAAGGATAAATGCAAAGTACTCCACTTAGGAAGGAACAATCAGTTGCACACATACAAAGTGGGAAATGACTACCTTGGAAGGAGTACTGCGGAAAGGGATCTGAGGGCCATAGTGGATCACAAACTAAATATGAGTCAACAGTGTAATGCTGTTGCAAAAAAAAAAAAAAAGACAAACATCATTCTGGGATTTATTAGCAGAAGTGGAGGGGTAGGACACGAGAAGCAATTCTTCCTCTCTACTCTGCACTGATTAGGTCTCAACTGGAGTATTGTGTCCAGTTCTGAGTGCCACATTTCAGGAAAGATGTGGACAAATTGGAGAAGGTCCAGAGCAGAGCTACAAAAATGATTAAAGGTCTAGAAAACATGACCTGTGAGGGAAGATTGAAAAAATTGTGTTTGTTTAGTCTGG